GAGGCCAAAGGGAATACTGCAGCCATTGATGTGCACTGGACACGAACTTGCCGTCCCTTCAACGTCAGGAAACATCGGAAAAACCAGCACAACAAACGTGAATACTCATGGCTTTCATGACATAACTGAAGGAATGAAAAAATTCTGTTCGTAAAGAAGTGATAAAAAATTTCGTGAGGGACATTTTAGGATGTCGCGATTCGTGTAACCCTCTTAAACTTTTTCTTTCTTTTTATGTTACAAATTCAAAGGTAACGTGACTGCTGTTTAGGGCAGTTTTCAATTGGGTATCGAAAGTGATTCTGGATTGCTTTGGTTTTACTTTAACTCGCTCTGTGATTGGTTTGTAAACCTTGCATCTCTATTTCAACCAATCAGAACCAAAACCAAAGCGACCTTTGCCACGTGCGTTTTCCCGCGCTTTAAGCAAGTTGCTATTTTCACTCTCACTGGTTGATGATGATGCCAACCTCAATTCTGGTTTTTCGAAACTCAGTTGAAAAAGTACTCTAAACGAGGAGTAATCTAGTTATCATGCACAACTGATGGTATTCGTACTATGAAGAAAGAAAAAGGCTATTGGTCCACAGAGGCTATAGTCTTTAAAATACTGTTGGGTGAGTTGTTATTTATATGTGTACGCCTTTTATTTAATTTTATCTACCTTTACCGAAGTCAAACTATGAAGTCTTTCCCTAATAAAAATTTTTAAAATGTAACACTGCTGTATCATTGTTTTCCCCGTATAGTAAATTCACTCAACACTACCGGCTTGACCAAGTTAAACATTAAGTTTATCAAGATGTTTCTCCTAGTCGCAACTTATTTTAATTTCCTATCTGTGTCTAGACGAAATACAAAACTTGCTGGTTGCAGTTAGCGTTTGTCACTTTCTACATGTATTCTGTCTCTCCTGAAGTGAACACAAATTTACAATTTCGTAACTGCAAAACTGACATTTCAAGTCGTTTGGGGTCTCCCGAACCACAGACGAAACATAGACCACTTTCATAAATGGCTGCCGGATTAATATTCTTTTGTTTAAATTTAAATTAGCCCTACTGGCCTCGTTCTCCAGTACAAAATCCAAAAGAAGACATTATCTCAAGCGAGGCCAGAAGGGCTAATTTAAATTTAAACAAAAGAACATTTATACGGCAGCCATTTATGAAAGTGGTCTATGGGTTTACACGCATGAGCTGTACTTTAGCAAGATGACTTTTTAAATATACTTCGCTGAGACGAACCCATATGTTATTGCCGATGGCCATTAGCTCTATAAGAGTCTCATATTTGTGATTTAAGAGTTTTTAAGAGGGATCACTGAACGCATTAGCTTCGTGAATTAATGGAAAGAGTCGAAAAACAAAGTTTAAAAAAATATCTCAAAAAGAGTTATTGAGTGAAGAGCCTTTCAAGAAGTCATTTTTATCAATACTTGTGCCTTTAATAGAGTATCTTAGAGGCTGGATAAGCACGTAGCATTTCGTAAGAAATAAAAAAAACATTTTTTTACCCCTTTCCTCTTGCTTTGAAACCAGGTTTTTGAACAACTCAAGCAGCATAATATATAAATTAGCCTCGATAATTCAAATTCACTTCATCTCATCAGGGAAAAAGACAACCTAAACTAACTAGTTAGTTTTGTTTACGTCCCAGCATCCTTACAAGTACCCTTTATTGACATCTTAAAGTTAGTTTATTGGAGATCTCAGGTAACATTGTTCTTGTAATCAATCAGTAAACTTTATGTTCATTCCGAACTGAAATTTTTCTCAATCCAATGAAACACGAAAGAGTTTACTTTAATTCTAAACTCATTTAAAGCAGGTTTCTTTTGTAGTCAAATATACTTATCATTTCAGAGATGCTGTCTTCAAATAGGAAGTAAACACCGCCATCTTTCACTGTTCTACACTCCAGCAGGGTTGATGGAGTTTATGGATGGGTTGATGTAAAAATACGATTTTTTCGTCTTCTTGATAACTATTATTGACACGTTGTAGGACTCTGAAGATATAAGAACTGATAAAAATGAAAACAAAAAAGTCTGCAAAAGGCAGGAAAGGACGAGGTATTGAAATGATACTGTTCCGTTTTTTCTCCTTTCTTAATGCATGTCAACACAGAAACTCTTTTTCTACCACCCTACGCCTGGGTAAGGAAGGAAGAAAATAATGATAACGAATATTTATTACGGATAGCCCTCCAGTACATAAGTAGTGTTATTATTATCTAAGGGATCCAAAGGAAAAAAAAAAATACCCGAAGGATACACAGGAAAAGAAATATGGGTCGGGCTGTGCACAGCAAGTTTTGCCCCGTAGAGCTCTCACTGCTTCGCCTTTCTCAAAGCCTCAAACCTTCTCGCAGATGAAGAAGCGCTCGTGCCTAATATATTGATACTGAGGGCTTGCAATGGTTAACTTCACCGTCTCCCTGAATTTTGAACCAGGCGGAGGAAGATACTCCGCCTAAGAAAAAGAAATAAAAACCTTTGTACACCCATACCAGATTTATGCAAATGAAGTTTACCCGGAAGACAAATACTTATTATAGACTTAAAGAAAAATCGAGAAAAAATTATTGGTATTTATTGGTTGTAACTGCGAAAGGAGAGGGGGCATGGGTACCAGACAGGCCCATTGGATATACGGGAACTTTGAAAAAAAATATATCTCAAAATGGCGGACGTCGATGATCGAGGTTCAGTTGGCGGCGAAGAAGAAGGCAAAGATCTCTGGTATTGAAAGATAGAAAACTTGTATTTTTTGATTACGTTTTTACAACCTATGATGATGATGCTTGGCTGTTATTTGTGTTCCGTAGGTCGTCGATTTTGAGTGACGTTTCAAGTTCAGCTAGTCGAAAATTACCCTCCAATAAGGCGATTGTACTGTTAGGTAAGCAGTGCTGTATATTTAGTTTGCGACCTTTCGGTTCGTGGTTCCTTCTCTGATTATTTATTCTAAACGAGAACATTGTTTTCAGGCAACGATGGCTCTGGGAAAACGACGCTGATATCAAAGCTCAGAGGGAAAGAAGATGAAATCAGCAAAGGTCACGGACTGGAATACACATATTTGGATGTTCACGATGAAGAGAGAGATGGTATTATAGTAATTAAATTCAGTGTGTACATACAATGCTATTTCGATTTTGCATGTGTCTGACATTTTATCCTTTCGTTTTCAACGTAGACAGTACAAGATTAGGGGTTTGGATATTGGACGGCGATCCTCTTCACAAAGGTCTTCTGCAATTCGCCATCACACCAAAAAGTGTTACCAACACTCTTGTCGTTCAAGTTGTAGACATCTCTAGACCATGGACAATTATGGAATCTTTGCATTCGTGGACAGAGGTTCTTCGGGAGCACATTCATTCACTTAAACTACCGCCGAAGGAATTAAACGAAATGGAGGAACGAAGTAAGTTTGTAGAAAAAAAAAATTGATGAAATATTCTTACTTGTTTTCGATTCGATATCGACGCTGCGGAGTGACTCTTTTTTACTTCTGTTTGCATAGCTGGTTAGTCTCATGCATATGATAGTTTTCTGAAGTTGTCACTTTTTTATATAGTGTTTGTTCGTCATATTTTAAATTTTTAAGAGGACATGGTTCAAATTTAAGACGATCGCATGATCTCGATATTCACGTATTCAAAATACCCTATCATATACAGGAAGGCAATATTGTTTGAAATAAGTGATTTGGAAAATCAATTTATGTTTCTGTCAAAATAAAATTAGATCTGTACATTTCAATAATCATGTTAAAGTTATAACAATTTTACCACCGACTTTTGGAAATATCGGCGAATGGCACGGTGAAGATGAAATGTTTTAGTCGAAAGGAATGTTCGTAAAATATTCACATTTACACTGCTTATTTACTTTTCGCTGTGATCGAAAAACTACTTTGAAGCATCTCTTGAAATAGTCTTGTTGTGATTTTCATTTTAATGCTCGAAAATCGAACTGAATGGATTAACAAGGAGGGGGTGAATATCATGTTTAATTTATGAATTTCGAATTTCTGCATACTGTGTTTTAGATCACTTGATATCTTTCTAGACATGCAAATGTGCCTAAATTATAGTTTACAATAAATCGTTTGTTGCTATGAATGTGTCTGGGAGTGTATCCCCTTGTGGTGGTATCCTGTCCTTGTCAACAGAGGAAATTACCATTATAGAGAAATCTTGTGTTATGTAAAATAATAGTATATAGAATTTTTGGGGAGGAATTGTGTTACCTTGGTGTAAGTCTTTAAACTGAAGGTTTTCATATCTGCCTGGTGTGAAAGCTAATAAGCAGTTAAGATTAGAAATGAGGAACTAGAACTATGGAAAAAAAATGTGGTTTAGAACCAAATATATTTGAATGATTATTTAGAAGATGCAGTGAAATAACTGATTTTTATACATGACCTTCAAAGACACAAATTTGATACTTATCTTATAAGTCAACTCGGTGATTATGATTTTTAACAAATCAATTTCTAAGTATTTCATAATGAAATAATTTATCGTTTTTCAAAACTACTCTCTGGCTGTATGGCTGCCAATCAATTAATTTTCACAGAATTTCCTATCAAAAAAATTCTTTCAAACTTCAAATAAAAAATCTATTTGCTCATGGCATTTGCTTAAATGCTATATCCCAGTTAATTTGAATCTGGATTTTTCCTTTTCCTTTTTCCTTTTTTTCTATAATAAGGGTACCAGAATTAGGTGTATTCCAATCATGTTGAAACTTATTTTCAGTATTCATTCGTTTTGCACTCATGGTTATTTCATACCCAAGTGGGAGGCCATTCTTACCCAAGTTTAAGTCAATTTTTACCCAAACCTTAATATCTTTAAAAAAGCCAGTATTTGGTATATAATATTTATTTTAATTTTTTGTCAGCAGTCATGTTTGTAGTACTGTTTTGTATTATTGTTTAATTCACTTCCATATACATTGCAAGGCCTAACTTGTACACTTTGATAAATTACACTTGTAGTCGTGCGGCAATTTCAAGAATATACAGAACCAGATGAGTCAACAGAGGATAGAAGAAGATCAGGAATAAAAGATGAAGACAAGGTTCTTCTCCCGCTTGATGAAAATGTACTCACAGATAATCTTGGTCTAACTATGGTTGTTGTCATGACTAAGGTATTTATAGTTACACATCATGGTTGCAGTTGCAAGAATGGCTTTTAGTGAACTTTTTCAACAAACACACAAGCAGTAATTTAAAATTTGCTTTCATGCTGAGTTTTAGGCTCGTATTGCTTAACCCTTTGATAAGCAAGATCTCATTTCTAATTCTGCTTGTTGTCTGTGATACAACTCTTATGATGCAAGTGTATGGTATTGGATCAAAAAATTTTTCCCTTGGTATTTTTCTATATTCTCATCACTTGTCTGCTTAATATTGTATTGATATTACAAGGAGAAATTCTGTCTTGGTCACTCATAGCAGGTAGAGGGTGAAGCAGTTACAATTACTCTTGAGAAAATAGAATAAAGTTAAGAGAGTAACTGTAAGCCGCTAATGGTAAGCTCCCTCCCCCCCCTGGCTGTGGGCCCATCTACCTGTAAACAAAGAAACACAGCCAATTATAAGCCCTCTCCAGCTTTTCTTGTTTGGAGGTAGGGACTCTACTGTTCATTAGATTAACGAGAGACCAAAGTTGAACTTCCAGGAAAAAAGTCTGACCTTCCCTTTTTGTTACGTTCCAGTTTTTAGTTTTGATTCTGTTCCAGGTGTATTTAAATTAACTTTAATCATCATGATGTTTTGAAACTTAATGAAAACCAGTGAATGAAAATGTAAGTTTGATCAGCAATGTGATATAACTTATTTTGAAGCACCTTTTCTACTCTGGCTTCAGACGTAAGCCCCCTTAGATAAAAGCCCCTCTGTTTATGAGCCTGCCTAAAACCCCTTACGAAGTTTTGTAAGCCCAGCACTAGTCTTATAAGCCGTAGTATGTGGTAATAGAGTTTACTGATCACTGCTTAACTGTACATGTACAACACTTTATATATTTTTAATGATTCTTTTTTGGTTGTTGTTGTTGTTGTTTCAGACTGACTGCATGTCTGCTCTTGAAAAAGACAGAGATTACAGAGACGAGCATTTTGACTTTATTCAACAACACATCAGAAGGCACTGCTTAAAATGTATCCTCATTAATATTACACATAATGTATAAGTATAATTATCAGATTTTTGTATTATTTAAACTGAACTGCTCTCTGATACATAAGGTTGTGCAACACACAATAAATACCTCTTAAGTTACAGACCTAGTCTTTTTTTGCCGAGATTTATGGCCCAAGCCCATGGTATGTGGACCAGAAATCAGAGCAGAAAAATTGAGGTTTGTAAGGCTAGCAAGATATCTGTTTGATCAGTGGGTTCAAATAGAGGGTAACATTTTAATTCAAACAAACTTTTGAATTTAGCTAGCAGTTTAGAGAACTACAGCCTAGCAAATTGAATCAGAGTGCAAATACTAAAGGATAATTTAATACTTGATGAGGGAATTTTGCATTAAATTGCATGCAAAAATTGATATTGCATGAATCGTGAAGTGATGAGTGTGATATCAGCTTTCTTGTGTATTTTAACATGGAATTCATGAGTCTAGTAATGGATTTTCCTTGAATCGCATAATGAGAAAAAAATAAGAAAAAAAAAGAAAACAGCACTAGTTATAATTGTTATGTATACGTAGATGCCAAACAATATCACTTAACCTTGTTTTGAACTTGCATTTCCACGCTGAATACCTTGCCTTGTTAACCAATCAAAATCGAGATTTTATTCAATAATTCGAGGACTCCATCATCCGAAATTATTTCCCTCATTTTGTTTCTTTCCCTTGACTGATAAAAGATGGTGCTACATTGTTTTACACCTCTGTCAAAGAAAATAAGAACTGCACATTATTATACAGATACTTAGTCCATCAAATATATGGCTTGCCATTCAATAGCCCAGCCTTGGTTGTGGACAAGGATTCGGTATTTATGTGAGTATCAAGTGAGGTGCCATGGTTAATATATAAACCTTATCCTATGGTTTGACACAAACTGTGCAGTTGTTTTGTGAGTTGCATCAAATTTTTCCGTATCCTGTAGGGTTGAGAAAATATATGAGCAATGAGCAAAATGTCTGCTCTTTCTATGAAAACAAAATGAAACCTTGTAAAGAAAGAGTTACAATCCATATGTTACATACTTTGGGCAGTAGATAAAATATCTCTGGAGTGGGCAAATTTTTGGAACGAAGGGAAAATAACTGTTTGCCTTTTGCAAAAAAAGGTAATGTAATAATTTTTTTTAAGGGAGTAAAGGAAAAAATTTTTCTTTTTTTTTCACAGTCCAGCAGGTTGGGACTCTGTAAAGAAAATAAACATTCTGAGTGAACACTTGAAAAATATCCAGGCTGAGGATGCGTTTGATGATCACATTGTCAAACCACAACTGAGAAAGGTACTGCAGAAAAAAATATTTACACTGTTCAAGGGAATGGTTCTTCACCTGTCATTTTGGGCAGTAATGTGGTTAAGTACTAAATAAATTGAACTCAAGGTATGGCCAAGACGGGTATTAAATCGTTGGTTGACCGTAAACCCCAGCTTTCAAAAACGGTGTATCTTGGATTTTTCAGAAAAAAACCCCTTACTTCGAAATGTGGAGGGACGCTAAGGCAATTTCTTGAATTAATTCAAATCAATTATTTTAATCTTTTATGAAGACAAGTGATTGAGTAAGTGAATTCACTCGAGACGGAAACATGCGGGGCTTCTGCCAGAGCGCTTCAATACAAACGATTATTTGTAATTATTATATGGCTTGCAGCACCCATGGGCAAGATGAAGAGATTCCTGTGTACTGCTTGGCTACTCAAGCCCGCTTGGCATTACTCGTTTTACCCTGCGCGTGGAAAATAATTTCTAGGAGCGGAGTAACAAATTTCGTAGCTTTTGGATAATTTCGTCAAGGGGGTCGCAAAAAGAGTTTTGTGAGTTTATTATGCTACACAAATCGGAAATACAAAAATTAAACTCAAAGTGATGTGGAGGCATGGAAGCAGTTTTATCTGTCTGATAATCTTTTCACGATATATTAAATCGTTTATTAACCAAGCTTAAATCGGTCAAGATGGCTGGATACTAGCCTCATTTGACTGTGTACATGGGTTTGAAGTTTAAATCAAAGTGCAATTGTCTTTTGTCAGCCGATACAAGACAAAGAAATTACCGCCGAGGACGAGCAAACATTCCTTGCAAAACAACAGGTTGGTTTAAAAGGATAATTTCGAAGATTAAACGTTATCATTACAATAAGTGCACAACATTGCTGTATCTATAGTCCAGAGTCCAGAGCTGTGGAATACGTACACGTGTATTCAATTTTTCATCGCATAGACGACAGCTGGGTGCAATTTCGGATCGGAAATAAATGGCTGTGTTTCCGCTTTAAATCATCTGTAAGTTTCCGCACAGTAAATTGTTCCCAAATCGTGGTTAGCGATGTTGACATCTGCCCATAAACAATGTGTCGTTAATAATAATAACAAACAAACAAAAAAAAAACGGCGTCAACAAATTAACAATCCCGATCGCAAAACTTTATTTGAGACAGTTTGTCCTTGTTATTTTTGTAAACTTTTAATGGTCACAGAGTGAAAAAAAAAAAAAACAAAAAAACAAAACAAAGCAAAACAAAGGAACAAAACAAAAAAAAAAACCTAAGTTACAGTTGCAAGCGTGATCACTCGTCTTTACACGGGGTCGAGGGGCGGGGGCTTTTTTGCCAATAGACGTGACGCTTTTTCAAGGATTTAAGGTACACAATAATGGCAAAGTTGTTAGGTTGTGTCAACATTTTTAATATTGATCATGTTTCTGTTTTCCCCCACACAGCAATTGCTGCAAAAGATGCCTGCTACTGTGTCATCTGGTATAGCCAGACCACAACCGGTCAGTAACGTTATTTCACTCATTCATCACATTTTGCCTCAATTGGGTTAAAATAGCATTCCTGTTTTCCCTTTATAGTCCTTGGTTATGTTTTGACCATACAATTTATAATGTAACGACCCGAGAGGGATCGTATGAAAAAATCAAAGTGTGTGATTACAAAAAAAAACCCTTTTTTAAAGAAACTGATAATCGCCAGGTGGGCAGAAGAGGGATGTTTGTGTGCTGATATTCAAGGAAACCTTAGAATCTTTACGTTTTTTTATTTATTTCTCTCTCGACTTTTTAATTGTATTTAACAAGATTAGAAAAAGAAAAAAAACTCGTGTAAACTGTAGCACATCGCTTCACTTACTAGATGTACCCGTCTAAACCATTAACCTTCTCGCGAAAACTTTGGTACCTTTGTTTAGGACATATCTAAGCCCCGTGCTCCAGCGAGCCCTAGTGGCAGGATAAGTTCAGACAGAAGGCCTTCAGCTGGAGGAATATCTGCTTCACCCAGAGGACCCAAGGTAACTGATTATTTTTCTAAGTTTAAGATTTTCATTCGTGCTTCTTTATTCTTAGCTTGTTCATTTTGATCTCTGTTAAAAAGTCTTTGATGCAATTTTTGGCTTAAAAACGCAGGACTTGAATAACTTATTGAAAACGTAATTTTTTGTGAGACGCTTCCATTCTGCAAAAAGGGAAAAAAATTGCATGTTGCCGGATTTCAGACTTCGCATCGTGAAGGCGAGTTTTCTTTTGCTGCATTGAAAAGTATTCCGGCAATTGTAGTAACAAAGGAGTCGGAACTTGTCGTAAGACAATAAACGTAAAGGACGACTGTCGTAAATTTATTCCACTTTTCTGTGGTGTAAAGGTTTTGCAACATGATATTGAGTAATGGAGTGTCAATCAGAGCACAGGAAGACGACACATGCAATCTATGAGAACTCAACGCGAAATTATCGGCCCAGTCACGTTTGTCACTAGTTTCGCATCTGATTGGTTAAGAGGGCAAATTTTCTAGACCAAGTAAAGATTGAAATAGAGGAAAGCCAATGTAACCCTGGATTGCTGTCGACAATCAACTGAAAATTGCTCAAAACCTGTTAATGACGAAGCTACTATGGTCAAGACAGCTGGATAATGACCTCGTGTTTTGTTATGTTTTTACGGACCTAAATTCGTCTTAGTTCATCAAGAGAGCTAAAGAAAAAGAAAATAAGAAAACTTGGCTTTAATCCAGCCATCTCGACCTGGCGCTAGGTTATTAACGCAAATTTATGGGTATTTAACGCATGGTTTGTGTGGCAGGTCGAAGGTGGAAAACCAGGTGCAGGTGCGGGAACCAGTGAAGGAGTACTGGCCAATTTCTTCAACTCGTTACTCAACAAGAAGAGCGGAACTGGTGCAGCCATGGGACGGGGCGGAACAGCTGTCAGAAGTGATGCCGCTGCCGAGTTAGATCGCATGAATAGAGCAAAGAAAATGGTCTCCCAGGGAAACACGGCCAACGACTCAACAGAATCATCGTAGGTGTAGCAATTCGTTTAATAACTGGTAGAGGATGTACAACAGACTTTTATGACGCGCACTGGAATCAAGAGCGCTCATGAAATTTATTTTGTATAAAGCTAGGCTATTATAATTTGGTCAGGATATGATAGTGTGGAGAAAAGAAAAGTAGAAAGGTGTACATTGTATTCGATACAAAGATATGTGGAGAACTTTTAAAACACAAGGGAAGCCATGTATTGGGCCCAAAATCTGTTTTTAAATGGTAAAATCAGAAAGTGGAAAGTAACTGCTTAGCTACCCAGTGAAAACAGGGTTTGTTGTCAATAGAAAAGAGATGAACGGCAAATGGAAATGCAGTGCGGCATTCTGAGGAACAAAATTATTGTTTTCTCTTGGTCTAGACTTTACAAATATGTTGTTGATCTTCGAAGGCGTCAGACTCTTCCTACTTGGGGTCGTTTTTGGAAAGTCGAATCCAGAAAAATTCTGGTGGTTTTAAAATCGAAAAATGTGGAGAACGTGAAATATGAATTAATAAGTCGATGGAAGTTTCTCATAGCCTTTTTTCCCATCAGAGTGACAAATTATCACCCTTAAACTTTCGTTAATTACGGTTTTGGATACTTTTCCAAGGCAGCTGTCAGCAGTAGGTGTGTACACAACAAAAAGAGTTTCAAGAAAGTATTTCTAATTTGGCGTGCGTTCACAAGAAGGTGAGCATGTTCAGAAACGTGAGTAACTATCAGCTATCAGCTGATTGACCTTTTATTTTGTGGATGGTTGTTAGAGATAAGAACTCTTCTCTCGCAAGTCCATTTAACGTATAGTTAGTTGGATAAATTAGGATGCTGGCTTCAACATTCATTGTTCCACGCCTAAAAGTGGGCCGAGGGCCGAGAGAGAAAAAACTCGAGAGAGAGGGAGTGGCGACATAGGAGAGCTACCGGACGAGTTCTGCTGGTATAGCAGACCTTGCCATGTTCGCCTATTGGTTAATTTTTTCAAGTAGCGTCATCACGTTGCCAAGAGAGTCGTTCAATTCATCTACTGAAGTGATAAGCGCCCTCCTCGTGCGCTTAATCGAGTTGCTAAGGAATAACCAAATCCCCGCCTGTTTTTTCGCTCGTCTCCGCTGATCAAGAACGTGTGACAGGTGCATTGTAAATGTTAACGTCATGAGAAACTTCACGAAAAAATCCGCTCAAATCTTTATTGTAAATTATTCTTTGATATTTTTTATTCCGCAACAAGGAAACAAAGTAGGATGATGATTTTGTAGTAAGTCGCAAGGAACTCACCAACCGGACTTGTGCCTCGCATTTCAAGAACCTAAATTTATCGCTTTTCATAGCGAGCAATGACAAGTAATTTTTTGCTCTTCCATTGTTGCAATAATTCAAAATCTATTTTCTAACTTGAACTCCTTGTGTTTGTAGTTATAAAGCTGTTTCTTACTTAATGTTTATTTGTCAGAAGTTCAAAATGAAATGGCAGTTAACCTGTTTCTATCCTCTAACAGCTGTCCCTAACTTCTTTGCGGGAACGATAGTTATTGTCTTGTCTATGTAATACGTAAAAAACACATAAAAAGTTTTGTCGTGGGGCTGTCTATGAATTCGTTTTGTGGCGACCAACACCACTGGAATAAGGCCAGATTTTTCCAGAATTATTTTTTTTCTGCTATTCTCTTTTAGATATTAGAAAACCATCACTATCTCAATAAGTTTTTTTTTTTTGAGTTTTTTCGTTGGAATTTGCATCGCTGAAATGTCTTGTATGGAGGAATGTTGACATTCGCGTTGACGGTTAATATGGTTGAGGGTCTTTGATAAAATTACTGGTGAGACTGGGGGCGAATGTAAGTTTCTAACTGTTTACCTTTAGCCTGTAGAGTTGTTCTGACGAAAATCTTCCCGGGATGACATCGCTTATTTGGTTTTACCATCGCGTGAGGGCAGCCTCATTTGAGTGTTGAAAAACCAAAACCAAGATACGCTGTAATCCCAGACCAAACAAAACAATGGATGACATTATCAATAGCCAATGAAAACTCAAAGTGAACGTAGGCAACCGTGTGAAGGGCGGGAAGATGCGAATGACCAAGTTGAGATTGTTTTTGGTTTGCATCTGATTGGTTTAGAATATGGCACGAGATTTCTGGACAAATCTCAGAGTAAAGTTGAACAAACCAGAGCAATCTGGAATTATTTTCGACACTCAGATGACAATTCCACCAATTTTTCATCCATTTGCAGATCATTTTGTTGTCAATTTTTGGAGTTGAGAACGTGGTTTTTACGACTCGTCAGATTTAAAGCTATTTAATACGGTACTTTCCATTCATGTTGCAATTTTATTTATATAATTTCCAGGTAATTTTGATAGTGGTGTTGGTCGTCATACTTCCTTAAGTAAACAAATGGCAAAGAACCTAGCTTCCTAAGTTTGTACTCAAATTCTGTCATTTCGTGGCTCGAAATTACTTCTGGACAACTTTCCGTTACATTTTTTATCTAAAAAAGGAAACTTTTTTGAAGTTGTTTTCCTGAGTACAGTTGTCATTCTACTGGTGAATGTTTGGTGGGCTATTTATTGTGCTGTCTGTGAACAGTGTCTGTTAAATCTATCCCAAAGTAAATACAAGATAAAAGCTGTAAGAGTATCCATAATAAACCCTGTTAAACGTACTCAGTTGCTGTGCTGGTGTGATGTGTTGACTGTGAATGGTTCCATTTCACTTTGTCATTAATATGATTTGGGTTTCACGACCATAGGTCGAAAGGCGCCCTAAGTAAGGAATTGCTGCGACAACTTCGTTGTGATCAAGACGACTGTTAATTTGTAGGTGTGCGCTAAGGGTCCATTAATACGGTCTCGGGTACCTGAGACAAGTCTTACCCTGAGTCACCCTGACCGAGTCAACCTTTCACTTAAATCTTTGAAGAACTTAATCCAACCGTTGGCAATTAAAATGGCGAACTCGTCTTCGAGGTGAGACCCCGAGAGGGCGGATTGTCTCGCCTCCACAGATAGGGTAACCCTGTGGGGTGGAACAACTTTTTCTCCCATGAACACATCGTATTTTCTTACACACTGAAAACACATGGTAATACAAATAAGAAACTGAGGTAGCTAGCTTCCAGTCTACTGTCCTCGTGAAGCCGTTTAAGGAGGCTGCCGAGGTTCGATGCCCTTTCAATTTCTAATCTTCGAGATATTTGTGGTGGTTTGCCCTTGTTTGTGTTCGGTGATTTTGGTTCTTAGCTGGCAAGAGTCTCAAAACTTTCTTGATTTTACCTTTGAGTGTTAAAAAAAAAAATCAGTGGCTTTAATTTTTAATTAAAAAAAATCTGGGAATATTGGCACTACCTCACTACTGGTTCTATGCTATCGATGGCTGATGACAAAGAACTTTTCAGGTTGGTGTGTTCTCGATAATGCTTCGTTGTTTTGACAATTGATTTCCAGTATATCAGCAGCTGCACAAAGAAGTTAGGGGCTGTCACTGTTAGCTACTTTAAGGCATTTTGAAAACTTATCTGAGGCAACCATGTGCTGTCTACGTTATCACGATTGAAGGGGTGAAAAAAGACGTTTTAGATAAGTTCACCATGATTGTGCGTCGTGTCACAAAACAGTTCTCCAACGAATCCTCTTTAGCATGTTGGTACAATGGCCAGCATTTTTCTCGTCCGTCACGTTTTTTGTCATCATACTTCTGACGCGCACACAATATGAAGAAAACCTCTAATTTATTTCCATTTTGTTTAACCATGACCATAGTTATGTTCCAAGCAAGCCCATTGCTGGAGGTCGTACACAAATGACATACCAAAATAAGCACGTTTGACTACACAAAGGCGTGGCGACTTGTCAAACTGAGTCGCATGTTTAGTCCAAACTTCGTCTGGTACGTTGTTAATACTTTTTATTTTAGCTCAAACTTACCGATAACGAAACGAATGGCAAGCCTATTGTACAGGTCTCCTGCTTCTTTTAATTTAACATTCTTCCCGAAAATATTGTACAGAGTGTTCAGAAAACGAATCAACACAACTTGAGAAGGAAGGGGGTGCGGCTATTCCGCGTGTCTCCACCCCTGAAACCAGTACATCTGGTTTTTCCCTCCTAAATCAAACTAATGCAGTCACCTAAATGACTTGGGTCTCAATTGGTACATTCTTTATCAAATAAAGTTAAACTTCAATATACATACATATTGACACAAAGTGTTCGGACGCCGCTCACTCATGTGGGTTTTGCTGCTCAATGCGAAAATTTGCTTAACAAGTAAGCATGCTTTTTTTTTGTTAATGAGAATGTTTTGCAAAGTGATGAACACCGAAGCTAAAGTGCCTCAGGAAAATCGAGTTGCTGTTGAAGTAACGTAGAAGTCTTAAGTTAATTTTGTTATTCTACAGTCTGTGCTTATTCCTTTGAGGACCTTTTGTCTTTTGTTGCCCTCTTCTTCTTTCGTCGACGTCGTCGCTTGCCTCCGTCTTTCAATACGTCCACGGCGTTTGCTTCATCCGGAATGCACTCGTACCAGATTTTTAAATACTTGTATACGTTACCGCACGTGTCGTCGTCAAAGAAAATGTTTGAAGCCACCACTTCACAGGCTTGTTCGTTTTTACACTGTCCATTTACTTTTTTCAGAGTGTTATCTGCCGTTGTTTCGCACAGTCTGTCGGATGTGAGCCCTGCTGGAATCTTGGGACACGTCACGTGGTCGTCACGACCCCAGAATGCCTTGGTGATCTTGATGAGTTCGTATTGTTTGCATTGTACCCAGCCCTTCTCACCTTCGCAGATTACAGTAAAGTTCTATGAGACAAGACAAACCGTTTGAATTAGTACATTTCAGCTAGCCATGCAATGGTTTTAAAGGAAAGTTGGACAGAAATTTCTAACATTCTAAGCACTTCGAAGGATTAGTTTCTTTTTTAAATGTTGGAAGTAGATTTACCCAATAGCGACTGCCACGATGATTGGTTGGAAATTGTAGGGAAAGCCGAAGGAATTTTGTGGGTGATTTGTGATTATTTCAACCTACCGGCATAATTGGTTCGGGACCAGCAGGACCCATAGGTCCTTGCGCTCCAGGTAGACCGGGGGCACCGGGAAGACCAGCAGCACCGGGGGCTCCCTGTTCTCCGGGGTCTCCCTTATCTCCAGGCATTCCGGGAGGTCCAGGTGGTCCTGGTGGCCCGGATGTACCCGTTGCTCCAGGGGCACCGTCTTCACCCACATGACCGGGTGTTCCGGCAGGTCCGGCTAATCCTGGAGGTCCGGGTTCTCCAGGAGCGCCTGGAGGCCCTGGGGGCCCAGGGGGACCATTGAGTCCTTTCAAGAAGAAACCGAGGGTAAGGTTTTGTTCGAGCAACTGACTGACCATGAGCTGGTCAAGGAAAGGTTGCGTTATACGGTCGCCGATCTTCGGCCAATCGGGCAGGATTTGCTGTGAGTACTGTGAGGAGAAAATGTAGAAATGAATTAGTGCTTGACCCTGATAGAAATAGCAACTATCTGCATCGCAAAGTTGTTCCGAACTCCGAATTACATGTCAAACAGTTCAATATCTGATTGATTATATAAGTTCCAAAAAACCGAACTGTACGAGAAAACCATGCTAACTGGTCAGGTAACTGACTTCGTAAGAATCCCGAGGTATTCACGTTCTACAAATGGCCTGTTTGTGACCTACGATCGATTATTTCGTGCGTCTGATTCTTAGTCTTTTTTTTTTTTCGAAGAGAAGAAAATAGATCTCCTCGCCGTAGTTAAGGGGTGGTAAACGTATTCTTCTGATGATACACCTCACGAGCGATTGTCAATATTCCGGTGCTCATATGTAACTTGTTGTGAAACATGTTTTTCTGGAAAAAAAAATGATAACTATGGGAGACGTTTCTGTTCGAGAGCTGAATTACTAGCTTACTTTCCCAACTTTTCATTCTTGTTAGTAAAAGAAAAGTTGCACTGAAAAAAAACTATGTCAAATCATACTTGAAATTTTTTTTTTTTTAACTGACTTGTTTGAGTTTCACGGAATGTTTTGCTATGATGGATAACCTGCTATAATCCCCAACAAGAAATCACATCATTACTTTGAAAACGTTTTGTTCACAATCTAAAAATATTCATTCCTGAGAATTTGATTATCACTCGACAGTAGTGTTGGGTATTTTTGCTTCAGTTGAATTTGTAATTCCCCGACAATTTCACGAGTTATAAGAAACCCCATCTCTTCTACTATCATAAGAAATATGTGAAATGTAGCTCAATTTATGAATCGTTCGACATGGATTGAATTTAGAATGGTAAATGTTTCATTCAGAATTTTGTACACCTCAGAATATCAGCACCAAGTTTTCATTGCTTTTTCAACACTTCTAGGTGAAGCTGTTGTCTTGATAAATGAAAGTAATAAGGAAATACAAAAGATTTGCAGATGTTCCATCGACATTTGGCACTTATGAGTCTGCGAAGGGAAAAAGTAACGCATACATAAGCCGTTAGGAACATCTTGTTTCCACACTCTGCGCTTTTTTCCGGAAAGGAATAATACTCTTGTAGATGCACCAATTTCAGATGTTACGTTATGTAGCTCTGCAAATGATAGCTAACTCGAAAGTTGACCCAAGTATTAATGTTATAACCAAGTCATAAGCTAAATTATTTAGCATTAAAGTGTGGTAAAGGAAAATTTTTAGGTGATATTTTGTTTCGTAAGTGTCAAATAAGTTTTGATGTTCTGTCGCTTTTCGTGAGGCACAGGGTAGAATAATTATATCAAAGAGTAATTATTCTAAGACATTTAAATGTCAAAAGCTATCCTCTCCTCAAGAAAGGAATAATAGATGTTTTGAAAACGTGAACACGTTCACCTTGAAAAAAGAAACAATCAATAGAACACTGGTTTAATGTTTACGAAGGGTAACGCGATTTCTTGCGGATCTCGAGGGGGAAACTTTTAAAATTATCTACGACTGTCAAACATTCTACACGCGCGCGTACTTCGCGCAAAATTATCTTCCTATCGATTAAAAGTGTTTTTATTGGTTTAGGTCAGATAATAAAAGGGATTGAAGATTAAAAAAAATCTTTTGACATTTACTGGGCAACCATTAGCCTTACTGGTAGTACCTGCCCATTGTTTACATCAGGCAAATGTTATGCATCGACAAGCAAGTGTCAAAAAGCTCCAAGTTATACTACCAAATGAGGAAAATTGAAAATTGGGATGAAATTGAAAGTGCTTTTTCAAATTTTGTGAGGTACAGAAAAAATTTACTTGTGCTATAACCTTGTGGAACAAAGTCTTTACCGCGGTAACGAATGAGAGTAAAGACTTGGTAGAGATCGAAACATGTTTAGCTCATGTATGGAGTTTTATACGGCCTTTCAGAAAAGACAGGAAGATCCACGTTGATAAAAGTTTTGCGAATCTAAATAAATAAGAGTGCAAGGCAAAAACTTTAGTGTTTAAAGTGAACGACTGTGATGCAAGATCGTTCACCTAACTGGTAGTATGTCCGCTCTATTTGCTCCATTGCAGTGGCTTTTTTTTGCACACAAAGTTTAGTCATAACATTTGCAAAAAGAGCACGAAATTCTATCAGTTTGAGTTAATCTACCGTAAGATTGTTGAATTCACGGTTGTATAAGAAGGGGAACAAAACACCTCGAACCACCAAGAAAAAGACCTGTCCCGCGTCTAAGATAATCCAATGGCGCGTATTAATAATACATTTTGAGACTTCTCGGGAATAACGGAGAATATAAGCTTCACCTACCGTAGATTCTAGCCATAATAGGCCCGCAAATAAGGCAAGAAGGCAGCCTATGCCTCCTTTGAGCCCCATTACCTGGAGGAGAAATGAACAAGAGAGCAAGCGATCAGTGATTCTCGAACACCCTGATTTGTTATTAATTATTACTGAGTTGTGATTCATCTCATCGAGAAAGTATCTTAGGCGCCAAAATCTTTACCTCAAGTCTTTGAACTCAATGGGATTTAAAACCGTTTCATAAAACCATTTCTTTTGTTAAATAAAGTAAAGATCTACTGGTTTTATCAGCAAGGCTTTAATTAATTGCGACTTAAACGCACAGTCGACCAAGCGTTTAGATACCAAACTTACCGTTGTCAAACTAAAAATTTTGAAACGAAAATTTAAGTCTAAGTGAGCAGTAATATAAATGATAATGTCTAAAGTAAGTGTATTTTCCCGTCCGTAGTTTGTTAGTTTGAGGAATAGAGTAACCTATCCTTGATCTTTCGATCAAGTTATGACTCAAGCAAGAGATGTCAAACGCCATCATCATACAAATTCCCTCATTTGCTAAATCACCCGGTTTGAAAGATATAGGTAAGATGAAATAGAAGGTTGATCAACTCGAACCCCAAGGAAATAAATTCAAGCTAAGTCAACCTTCGCCACCCACATCCTTCTGCAAGGTCTGTTGTTATAACAAAACTCAGAGTTCTCCTGCTCCGTCGATAAAAAGTTAGTCGGTGAAGATAATAAACCTCATCCAAACAGACGACTTAATTCATCCAGGCTACGAATGACTCTCTTGCTTTGAAGAACCATCTGTTTGGATGAGGTCCAATCCTTTATCGACGTCGGACTTGTAAAAAAAACTGCAGCGTATCGTGAACGGAAAACAAGACAAAATGTCCGTCGAGAAGAAATGGCGTTTCGTAAATAACGAAGCTGGTTTACCAGTGTTAAATCCCTGTCCCGTTTGGTTAGAGGATAGCACAGTGCTAACTCCTTCAGTGCTCCAGTTCAACCCCAAAAATGTTTACCAATCAGTCCAAGACTAACCTGTGACAAAGCTTTTTGTTTCCGATGGAAAAATAAGCCCTGTCAGTTGCCGTTACCGTGAGGTCTGAAAATGGCTCTGGTCTCAAATGTTTCAATACTGGCGCCAGGGGAGCTTTCGCGCATGTGCGTTTCCGGCGTCCAACCACCTTCCCGTGCTTGACGTGGCATTACAAAGGAGGAAATTTTATTTGGCATGACGTAATGCAAGCTTAACATGCTTATGCTTTGACGGACCAATCAGCGTGTGCCTTGGAGCTGCCCGTGGAGTGAAACAATGGCTCAGTCATGAACCAAATCGACTCTTAGGTAATATTGATATAATTGGATTGCTATTTAATAATAAAACACAACCTCTAGTGAACTGTCAGGTGCGAGTAACAGGAGACCAGTGGTTTAGGACATGTTTTCGCACCTGGTGACCAATCGCGGGTGAGGTTAAGTGTCAAGATTTGTAAAGAACACAAGAAGTTTTGACATCACTGTGCAGGTGGCGTGCAATCAGCCAAACTGTTTTCTCGATTTTTCAGCGATCTAATTTGGGACATTTGTCTGATTTTTTACAGGGATTTTGATTGCGATGTCATATTCTTTTAAATGACGGCTTGTCTGTGAAATAGTTTTCATAAGGGAGGTAGGGATGTCAGAGTTTCTGGCTTTTCGTCTACAGAAGCTCCTTGTTTGAAAAATGACTCATCTGTGTCATTTGTTTTGACGGATCAATTGCTCCACTGAAGATTCAATGGGCAAATAATAAACTGTCTCCAAATCGTCTGTCTTGCTCTTTACGCTCGATATAAAACGATGCCTTCAAATGTAAAATCGCTTAGCTGGTAGAATTCGGAAACGATTATACACTTATCACATCGATTCTCTGGAAAAAGAATGATATTCGTTTTAAAGTAGAATTCTTGACATTACTAATCATTACTTGTCACTGATACGAGCCACCTTCCTACTGTAAACAATAAAAAAAATGTTCGTGTATAGACCTTTCTTTTTAGAATTTGTGGGAGTCTCTCCGAAGACAGACAGCCGTTAACTTAATGTTTAGTTTGTTTGTCACATCTGGAGGTTATCATGCCGAAGAAACATCGCCGTTCACTCTTGAAATCACCGAAGGGATGCAGCCATTTCATAATTTCACATCTCCGCCCAAAAATATACAAAGCATGCTGTGACGCGCAGTCATGCATCCTGTCTTAACACGTTAGTTAGCCTCGTGGTTTCCATGGCAGATTCGCGGTTGCGAATTGTAACGTGAAAGTGTAAAGTCTGCAGTAATAAATAATTTTTCTTTCATTTTGTCTTGTTTTGTCTTTTCATGCCAACCAGGAATACAACTTTTTCCTTACTTTAGCTCGCGTCCACAAACGATGATGTTTAAAACACAAGCTGCACTGCACATATTTTGACAGTGCCCGGAGAGTTAGAGTGCCCTTTAAAATCAGTAAATCGTCTTGGGGTGATAATTCTAGCACCTGCTGGAAAGTCGAGTCAGTTGCTCCAGCTAGCCCAGGTCACTGTAACGTATCCGGTCGAACTGGACTTACGAAATGTCCATTTGAGATAGGGTGCATGTTGGCTGCATATGGGCTACATCTCAGTTTTAAACTTGCAAATCCAGAACAGAAATTGACGGTTTTTTGTCTAAAGTTGTTTTCTTATCACCCGAGTTAACTATTTCGTCCAAACTTTCCTCAACAATACGATAGCTTTTTCATCATCATTATTTTTATCTTGTAACTTTTAGTTTTGTCCCAACTAACAAATGTATTTTGCACCACTCTTCGTAAAAACACCCTTGAATATCTCATCTAGCGTTCATTTTGTCACGAATACTTTGTTCGTACTCAATTTTTTAAAACATCCGTTTGCAATTTTTCCTCTAACTATTTTCCTGTAGTATGATTTTAAAGGAGTTTGATTATTATTTGCTGAAAACGATAAACGTGATCACTTCTTTTGTCTACGTTCACCTAATAACTTACAGTTTGTGTTGTTTAGGAGCCATGTTGTTGCCATTGTAATGTATAAATCGAAGGGGAAGTATGCCTCAGAAATGGCAATTTTGTGAGCCTCTAAAGGCTACAAACAAATGAGAAAAAGGGTGTTAGTTCTACAGCATACACCTCCTTCGAGACAACTGAAGCGGTCTTTGGGCACCGTCGGGTGTAGAGATGTTATATATTATACCAAACTGCTTTGTAAAACCGTTTTGAACTCTTCAATCTATGTGAACTTTTCATTTGAGAGTTTATGACGGAAATGACAGCACCAAAATCTACAGAAGGTGCTTGTTCGCCGCCAAAAAAAAAAAGAAAACAGAGGAGAAGCGACAACATATTGAAGATTTGAAAATTTTATTTATTGTAAGAGCCCCACGGTGCGAGTGTACGGACATGAAAGGCAATAAATGCTGAAGAGTAAAAGAGAGAAGAAAAGGTGTAGGTCGGAGAAAGCATGGCATGTTGTCAAGTCTGTTTCCAAGTCCTAACACATGTCATGAAACAGATACTTAAGGCTGAAAGTTGTTTATCCAGGTAAATTTTTTCTCCTTTGAGAGTTAGAAATCGGGGTAAAGTCAAGGAAATGCCTTAAAATGATTGACATGCCTTCTTTGGCCTGCGGAATAAAAACAGAGATTAAGGTTACAAGGTGTGAACCCGTGTCTCAGTTCTCTTTCCTTTGAGTATAACATTACTTTACCATCCCCGAAGAGTTTTTATTAGTGATGGTTGTACAGAGTACATTTTTCAACTTCATGACTTGGTCATATCTGCCTTCACCGAGCTGAAAATTACGCGATCTGATGGAAAGACAGGAATTCGCACGTCCTTTTCCAACCCAAAGTAAAGAGAAAAATAAATAACTATATATATAACAGCTTTATTGTAATCGTAATCGTAATTCACATTATATTATATTACATTACAATTGGGTTATGGAGGGAGGAACTTAATCCCCATATTATCTATACCCCATATTATAATTATAATAAATTACATTTATCTATAAAAATACTTTAACAATACATGCATGCCTAAGAATTTTAAAAATATGCTATAAATATATAAATAATTTAAAATAGACTTTTTTCAATGCTTTTTTAAAGCTATTTACAGATTCATGATCTACGACAGATGATGGTAGCTTATTCCAACAATCAATATATCTGTTCCAGAAAGAATATTTAAATACATCCGTTCGAAAAAAAAGGCTTGTAAAGGTTATAAGAGTGGGAGTTTCTAGATTTCCTATTACTTAAAGCATTCCATGAAATAGACAAGCCGGGCTCTCTCCAGCTAACACGAATGAAACAGCGACCAGTTGACTCGAAAAGAAATTTACTGAAGTACTTTATGCGCCTTCTCGCCATTTTGATCCCTGTAGTTTTTTTAAATCTGACGTTCCAAGAAACAAATAAATTTTCAGATTGCGTCGGGCGGATGCCTTAAGGGAAAAATGAGGCACACTTCAAGCGATTCCCCCTTTTCGAATTGAGAAGAAGTGGAATACGAAGTGTTTCACCAAAAATGACTCCATTGTCTTCATATCCGTCTAGAGATCATCTTTCGAAATTGCATGCGTCACCACACTACGTTCAAAAGACTGTCAGATTCCATTCCCACCAGAGCCGGAAGCACAATTCAAGCATTTTAGATGCAAAAAAAATGTTTCCATCGCTTTCATAGCACACAATAAATAAGAGCAGTGCAGCTAAGGTTTCTTCGCTCGACGCATTCTACATTATATGACGTATTTTCCATCTGAAGCTGCTTTCAAAGTAGACGAATTAAAAAGACATGAAGTTGCCATGAACATACACGAATCAGCCAATCAGAGTACAGAATCCCTCACTTGAAAGGCAGGTTGTAGTCGAGCCGGTGGCTTATGGGTAACTCAGGTAAGCCAAAGAAAGAACAATAGGTTTTACTCTAGGGCCTTGTTCGCTCTGTAACTGACGTTTAGTCCCAGCTTTTCACTTTTTGTTCAGGAAAATTTCTTATCAGGGATTTAATTGTGAGTATGAGTGATCTGTGGTCGGATCAGCCGTGTTCTGAGTAAGAAGACGTTGACGAGACAACACAGCTACCAGACTCGTAAGTAAGCTATGTTTTGTGTTAATTATGTTGGTTTTCAACTATGAAATGGAGTGGGTGATCATTTGGTGCCGGATATTGTTACTTCCGTTTAAATTTTCAAATTTGAGCTTTCGTTAGGTAAGAAGATCTGGATTTGGTTGAAAACTGAATCAGGTTATTGCTTATATTGTGGGAGGAAATATTGTAAAATTTTTCAGGCCCGCGTACTTTCGCTTAAGTTTTACTGAAAGACTGTTAACACGTTTGAAAGTATAACTGTTCTTTTCGAATTGTTTAGTTTGTAATACTTTCAAAGGGTTAACATTTTGGATATTTGACGCAGCTGTCGAAATCTCTTACACTTTTCCAAATTGGCAAGTTTTGTCTTACTTGACAGTTTTTCTCACTTATCCTAAGTGTTTCGCAGTTTTCTTGCTCTTGTACAAATTCAATTAGATATGTTGACCTTTCCGAGCAAGACACCAGCTATCCACCTGTGCCATGTCACGTTAAAAGAATCGGCGTCGCCATTGTCATGGCAACCACTTTGATTTACCTTCGCAACGTGGAGCGATTAGCACAATTGACAGCCTGACCGTAAATCGTGAAACAAAGATTAAACGTTCATTTATCTACAAAATCACCATAAACAACATTTTCTATTAAAGTAAATGAGTTTGTTTTCAAGACAGCAAAGATGTGCTTAAAGTGTTAGAGTAAAAATGCCTCTCGATAAAGAAAGGTTTTCAGCGCTACTGAGTACAATAGCAATGAGACTTAGCTCACTTTTTGCCAGATTTTCCCATAAATTTTTCTCCGGAAAGTAATAACTAGAAAACGAATTAAATGGATCGCAGTACTCCTTTATTGCTCCAAAAATACCATAGGTAACTTTAAGTTTACATTCTGTCAGTTTGGAACTAGTAAATGTGTCTGATTTTGTATAATCGTTTAAGCAAAATGGAGAATAACTACGAAACTATGGACCGCATATTTTTATTTTTGTGATTTCTCCTTCCGCCATAACTTCCTCTT